AGCGCCACTATAATGGTTCCCCGTGCTGGCTGTAGCAGTTCACAATTTTCATGTCTTTTGACAATATCTGCACTATATTTTTACTCTCTTTCCTTGTTTTTAAAACTCATCCTCAAGATGTTTGAAAGTAAATATTTTAAAAACTTGTTTTTCTTTCGCTATAAGAAGGATTAGTATCACTATTGCCAACTGGAAGAAAAATGTCATTGTTTTTAAAAAAACAGAAGTGTTTAGAGATAAAGGAGATTCCTTTCTAGAACTTACTCTTAGTGTTTCAGCAAATGTGTGTGTGTGTGTGTGTGTGTGTGTGCATGTGTGCGTGCGCTGTCATCTTTTGTTATCTGTGGGGAATGGTTTCAGGCCACTCCAGATACCCAAGTCTGTGACTGCCTAATATATAAAGAGGAGTATTATGTGACTATAAACTATATACATCCTGCTGTACCCTTTAAATCATCTTCAGATGACATAATACCAAATACAATATAAATACTTTGTAAATATTTGTTGTACTGCATTGTTTAGGGAGAAATAACAAGAAAAAAGTCTGTACATTTGAGTACAGATGTATTTTTTCTGAATATTTTTGATCTGTGGCTTGTTGAATCCATGGATGCAGAACTAATGAATCTTGAGCACTGCCTGCTTATGTATCTATATATTTAAAGAGGATGCTGAAACAAATGTGTACAACATTTGAGCAATCTGGGTTAAAGGTTATGCTTTGTAACACTTTTTAATTTTCTTGTAAATCTAAAATTATTTCAAAGCGAAAATTGTATATATATGTACATATGTAAGTGGAGAAAGTAAAAGAATCTCGATTGGAAGCATTCACTAGCTACTTAGCAGTGGATAGCTTACATTAGGTGCATTGAATTTGTGAAAAGTGAAGTTGCCGGTAAATCACCCGGCCGTGAAGACTCTGATAACCCATCCTCCTGCCGGCTGATGCCCCAGACCCACACACATTCTCACACACGCCTTGTAAAGGATACTGAGAGGACCTGCCTGCTCCAGTAAACCAGAGCACAGTGCCACATTGAGACATCTTTGAATCCACTGCACCTTCTGCAGGTACTAGGAACGCGGAGACCCTGCGAACGAGGCCTTCCATCACCACAGCTGTTGAACGGGAGGATGGGAGCTCTCCACAGAGCAGTTCTTTCTGATCTGTTCCTTCCGATGACGGTTCAGGGTAACTAAGTCAAGAGCCAGTACCCTTGATGTTTGGTTCTTAATCAAAAGGACCTTTCCCTGCCACCCACTTCTCCTGGTGTGTGTTATTATGAGATTTTGCACAAAATAAATAAGGTGTTTGCTCGTGACTCTTCAGAAGGATTCACAGAAAGGTTCTTTACGTCGCAAATTGCACGTTCAACAATTTAATTTTTTGCAAAAAGTTCTGTTTATGTGCAGCTCTTCAGAGGAAACCTTCCTGAAGGCTCTCCTGGCACCCAGGTGTCATGGGCCGTGGGAACTGGACCCAGCTCGGTGGGACACAGGTGGGCAGGGGCAAAGCATGGGGCCCAGAGGTGACTGCAGCACCACCACCCTGGGGAGCAGTGCCCTGTCCGGGAGCCTTGGGAAGCCACAGGGAGGCTCCAGCCAGACCTCGCAGGTGCTGCTTCCTGTGAAGGCGCACGTGGCCTGGGCCTGGCCCTGACTCCCAGTTTTAAACTTTTTCTCTGTGCTATGTTCATTCCAGAAGGAGTAGGCTCTCTGGATAGATAGGCATATGTGTATATTTATGTATATATGCACATAGACACATGCCTATATGTCACATATACATACAGAATTTTTGTCTTTTAAAAAGATCCTTTAAAAAGAAAGCCAAATGCTTTCCGGCATAGTTTTTCATTTTTCCCCCTTTTATTCCTTATAACTAGCTAGCATGCATTTTGCTATTATGTGCTAGACACTGTGCTAAGCTCTTCCTTGTGTGCTTCCATTTGTTACTCCCATCCTGTAATGCAGTTAGTATTGTGATTTTCATTTTACACAAAAGACTTAGAGGCGCAGAGAGGGTAAGCAAATTGCTGAAAGTCACACAGCGTGAAAGAATGAGATTTGAGCCTAGTTTCATCTGGCTCCAAAACCTATACTTCACCTAAAACCCAGGGGCTGTGGCTGATCATAGCAATAGCAAATAACTTACTGAGCGCAGTATCTTGAAGTTGGGTTCTAGTAAAAGAAGAGGGATCCCACAGTTTTGAGAACCAGACCTATTCGTCTCTTGGTGTGAATGTCTCCAGAGTCGCCACCCCCTGACAGCCAGCTCCCTCGCCTATCTCTAGTGTCTGCATCTGGCTTGAAAGGATCAAAATTCGTGTAGATTTCCACCGTGGATGAGAATGCTCTCGGGTGCTGACTTCCTGGCTTTTTTTCATATCCTGTCATTAACTCAGCAACCCTGAAAGCCCCAGACTTGAAGGAAAGCCCATCTTATTAAAGTTAAAGATGATAATGTCTTCAAAGTTCCTACTTATTTTTAATGCATTTCTTTAACTGGCTGCCACACACATTGCTGGGATTGCTTTTGGTCTCCGTTGAAAGCCCCCAAGCTCTCATTTTCTAGGGGCCATTTTTACTACATACCTTCCTTTTATTTGATCCTTTTAATTATATCCTTCCCCCAAAGACTTTAATATGGGGGAAGGGGGTCAAAAGCAGCATTTTAAGGTAGAAATTAGTTTCCCATTTATATAATCAGGGCTTCCTGGCAAGTTGTAATAACAAACATTTCCACTTGGACGTGCCATTATATCAGCAACCCCCCAGATAAACAGCACTCTATTCAGGCTCAGGGCCTTACAGTACTAACCCACCTACTTTTTCTACTTATTTTGTGCCAGAAATTCTTCTAAGAGGTTTGCATGGATGAACTCCTTCACTCCACCTAACAACCGTATGCAATGACTAATAATAGCGTTCCAACTAGATAGATGAGGAAACTGAGCCATGAGAACTAACACTCTTAGCAAGGAGTATCAAAGCCAGGATTTGAAGCAAGGTAGTCTCAGCCCAAAGACTCTGCTTAAACACTGCCCCATAATGTTCCTCCTGCACTTAAGTATTCAGTGCCCATTAGAAACACTCACCAAGATTAAACGGTTCAGTACATTTGACGGACAAATGATGTAAGCCGCATCTAGAGATCTGAACCCCTCAGGACTTCAGGTTGCTTCTCTTCTTATAGATGTTATGTGCAGGGAGCTTCTAAACTTCCTTAGGAGCCCCTTACCTACTTTGATTATCCTGCAGCAGTGGTGGCGAACCTATGGGAATGGGTCATTTGTTACTCTTTTAAGATAAAAGATGTTAATGTATGAGTTGTTTTTTCTAAACTAAAACCTCAGTATTCAAGTTTAATCGCAGTGTTGGCACTTTGCAATGAATAAGTTTTGGATTGCAGTTGGGGCATTGGTCTCTAACAGGTTCATTATCACTGTCCTAGAGTTTCAATAGCTCCTTCTTAGGACCCAGAATAGTATTTCTTCTGCTGTAAGTCCTCCACTGACTTTGTGTTTGAGCCATGATTAAGCAGAATAAAAATGAGTCATCCCTCTTCAGTGTTAAAGAATGTAAGAAAGAAATCATTTCCTGGCTCAGGTCACTGTGTGGTTTCTTTTGTGATGTAGACATGAAGGGCTGCAGAGATACAAATGTCACCTCTCCATTTCACAGATGGGGGAACTGAGGTCAAGGCCACGTTTGAATACTGCTTTGATGGGGTAGCTAGAGTGGAGCAGAGCCAGCTCTGTTGAGTCAGACACGTTCATTCATCTTTCACATTGGTCTTTGGCAATCTTAAAATTTTTCCTCACCCTCCAAACCCTTTGCAATGTGTGGTGGCCATGTATGGAGGAGAGCTTGTTCTTCATCCTTTGGCCACCATGCTCAAGAAGGTGTCAGATCGGCAGGGCTGCCAGCCTGAGCGATGTCCCCATAAGGGAAAAGACCTCCAACACAAAAATCATGTCAGTTTTTTTTTTTTTCTGTGTTTGGTTGTAGTTGGTTTTGAGGTCCTAAGAAGACAGGGGGTAATAACAGAATTAATGTGATTTTTTTAAATTTCCTGCCAAGTTCAGAATCCATTTGAAGGCGTCATAAATGACCTTTATACAAGTAGGTTTTTTTCCCATTTGGGAGAAGAGAAAAAGGAAGCTCTGAGATATAAATTAACTGACTTTTTTGGCAATTACTAGTAACTCTTAAATTTTCCTTAATTCTGTAGTTGCAAAGAAAGTCACCTTCAGGAGTACAGGAAGGAGGTCTAATTCATTGTTATGAAGAAATCCTTTTTCAAAATCATATTTCTGAAACTATTAATATTAAAATTCTCAGTGCTATGTGTGGGCAGCTGATATTTTCAATATAAACACTTTCAAATAGTGTAATAGAGATGTTTTAACATCACCAAGAGAGATGTGGTTTCTCCATGGTTCCCAGACCCTTCCCTCTAATTCAAGAAGGGAGTCAACCCAGTATCAGGTCAGCTTCAGATCAAATCTTTATTTCCTGCTGAGTTACTTTATTTATGTTAGACTGGTTTTTGTTCAGTGTCAGAGAGTATGTTGGACTTGCTTATGTCTGAAAGAATAATGAAAGGCTGCAAGAATTAAATTTGGTGCCAAATTAACATCATCCTTCCCTTCCCTGCTGATAATTTTTACATCCCAGTCACATTCAGGGCGGTTGGAAGCTTTACGTGTATTTCTTAGGCTCCAGCTCTTATTATATTTGATCAGCAAAGAGTAATCACAGAATTTTCAGAAAGCACTGTGCCAAGATTTCAGAAGCCCTGGGGTATGAGTTTATAGCTTTGTTATTTTAAACCTAAATGCTTTAGCTGTGACTTAAAGAGAAACTTGCTACGAGTTTAATTTTAATATTAAAACAGAAAAAGAAGAATTCCGGCATATAAGCAAACAGAAATGTGGAGCCAAATAATGTATTCAGATGTCCCTGAGTTGGTGTCTGTTCCTGTCTTCCAGTGCCCTGGTCATTGAAGAACAGCAGCATAGACAGTGGCGAAGCAGAAGTTGGTCGGCGGGTGACACAAGAAGTCCCACCGGGAGTGTTTTGGAGGTCACAGATTCACATCAGTCAGCCCCAGTTCTTAAAGTTCAACATCTCCCTTGGGAAGGACGCTCTCTTTGGTGTTTATATAAGAAGGGGACTGCCACCATCTCATGCACAGGTATGACCATGTTTGATATAGCCAAGTGTTTAAAAATACATACATATACCATTTTATGCCCACTAGGATGGCTGTTTAAAATATGAACAATAACAAATGCTGGCAGGGCCGTGAAGAGATTTTACATTGTACACTTGTACATTGCTGGTGGAAATAAAAATGGAGGTAATATCCCTGCCAAAAGAAGCCAGCTTGGCTACATATAGAGGTTAATTTTGGGGTAGTTTTCTATTCAGGTGTTCTGGTTATTTGGGTTAATCATTAAACTTAACTGGGAGGCATCTCACCGTATGTGAAAAGAGTAATTTAACAATAGAGAATGTAATGGTTGTTTCTCTGTGGCATACTACTTCATTCTTTGGGATGGCCGTCGCACTGTAAAGGTGAGATTATTTCCAGTGTTGACAATGAGGAGACTGGGTTATATTATGGATCTTATTTTCTTCCCTCTCATCTCTCTATTGGTCTGTCTTTATAGAAATTACATTATATATACCATCAGGGATGCATTAGCACTTACCTACCTTGTAGTCCTTTTTTAATAAGAGTTGTGTATCTTGGGAAAAGTCAAATGAAGTTTTCCTGCTTCATTTGCCTTTGAATCCAGCAAAAACATAAAGTACATTAGGAGAAAAATACCAGTGGAAGGAAAATACCCATATATCCATGCAAAGCTGACTTTGAAACGTGTTGAAAGGTATTCATCTACAAAATTCGATTGGAAGAATTTAAAACCATTGACAAACATGAAGCAGTAGGGCCACCATTCCTTGTGTTTAGCTCATGGCAGACATTGCTAATCAATGACAGCGCTTTTCCTCACTAAGCCCAGTGCACAAATGCCTCCAACATAACTCTCAAGGAAGCCACTACCAATCGACCAGTGTTGGCTCTCAAGATAAAACTTATTTTGCAATTCCATCTTCTGAGCCTGAAATGATCAATACAAGGAGTCAAAGGCCTACTTCGTTTTTGAGCAGGGAGGGTTGCATACTTTTTTATTACCACATAAAGCCCATGCTATAGGGACCAATATGTAAAGTGGTAATCAACGAGTCTTCCATCCATCTCTCCAGAAAAATATTTATTGGGCTAGGCACTGATTATCCAGAGAGATGAGTTAATGCAGCCCCTTACCAAGCAGAGCTCCTGATTCAGAAACCACATCTGCTCTCCGTACCAAGCCTCATCCAGAGGTAGAAAGGAATTCAGCTGAAATGAGTCACTAAGGCATTTTTGTAGCTTCTGGCCAGGCAGCAGAGTGCTGCTCTGGGAAGTTATACAAATTATTTAGGTGGTCTCCTTGACCTTCAGGCTCCACCGATTGGACTGTAGCACAATGAAGGATTTACAGTGGTGAAATCTGCTTGTTGGCATTATTCGGATAAGTACAAACATGCCTCTGGGCACAGCTGAGCATAACTTTCCTCTGAGCCAGTTGGCTTCAAGGAGCACATTGTTCCATAGCACTGTTCTTCCCCCTTCCTTGCATACTCTGGGCAGCTAGAGTCATGGAAAAGCCAGTGATTATGGCAAGTCAAGTAGGCAGCTCTCTGCAACTGAGTGATAGTGGACAGCAACAGAAACATACTCTACTTGGTTTCCCTGCTGCTGTGACATTCAGGACTCCAATCCTCAATGACAATGTCTTTTCTTCTTTTGTGACTACACGACACTGTCCATCTCCTGCCAAGCTGGTGATTGTTCTAGTGATCGTCCTCTCAAAATAGCTCCACTTTGGGGACAGCCCCATCACACATTTCAAGGGAAAGGAAATGAATAGGCTTGGGCTGATGTGTACCAGGGTTTTAGTCCAGCTGCCAATTTAGGAATTTCAGAGTGTGTTGAGGGGGTCAGGTAAGCTAGGCACATTGCAGATGCTCAGAAATGCACAAGACAGGTACAATATAGGGGCACAGCTTTGAAAAAGAAAGAAAAAAGAAAAAGACATATCCTCACATTCATTTACTGTCATTACATGCATTCATGTCCATTTGATGAGCTACATTTCCTGGAGGAGACAGTGCTTAGCTCTTGCAGGGATAGGTGACTAACTCACGCTCAAACTATTACAGAATTTCTCATTTCTATTGGCATATCCTATCAAGAAACATAAGTTCTATGGGGATTGGCAGTCTAGCCAAGGTGACTCATTTGAGCTAGAGAAAGAAAAAGAAAGAGATGGGGAGGGGGAAGGGTATGAAATTCTATTGGCTCTGTTGCATGAAATGGCTGTATTTAAATTTTATAGAGTATCGTGCTCTGACCAAGAACCTACAAGGTTTAGTATCCTTGTCCAAGGATATTAAATACAGAGGAGAATCCTTATTTTTTTCACCTGCTTAAATTTCCCAAGAATCAGAGTCTGTCCCAGCTGACTTTTTGAAACTGGCTTCTTACAAAAGATACAGAAGCAACATGGCATAAGAGAGAAAGCCCCCGAGTTAGGAGGAGGACTTCTGAGTGCAGGCCCTACCACAGAATAGTAGGTTGACCTTGAACATGTTTCTTAACCTATCTTAACACTGGTTTCTTTTTCTACCTACGTTACCTGCCTCACAGCATTGCAGTTGCATAAGAGAAACAAAGCTAGGATGGGAAAACACTTCATAAACTGAAACACAATGGAAAGATATTATATGTGAGCATTTCACTTACTTAGAAATTGGTGGCTGAAGGTGCAGCTCAGTGGTAGGTGCTTGCATAGTATGTGCAAGACCCTGGCTCTGAAAAAAAAAAAATTATATGTAACCCTAGCTAACATTTTAGATAGAAGAGCTATAGACAATAATGCATATACAGATTTTTAAAATAAAATTAGTTCCCTAGTTATTGTCTTCTTACTGAAGAAAGAAATATATTTTCATGGCAAAAAATTTAGTAACAGAAGCAAAAAGAAGAAAGTAAAAATACCCACAATTTACAGTGATGCCTTTTGGCTAAATGTTAATACATTGTTTTTGCTATAACAAAACGTATCCATTGTAGTAAAAAGGACAATAACGACATCAGCGTGAGACTCTTAGTGTCTTAAAATAGCAAAGGCTATTTCTTATTTATTCTATATCAGTGGTTCTCAACCAAGGTGATTTTGGCCTACTCCCGGTCACTCCCTGGGGACAACTGGCAATGTCTGGAAATCGTTTTGGTTGTCACATTGATTGTTACCAGTATCCTCAAGTAAAGGCCAGAGATACTGCTAAACCCCTACAGTGCACAGGGAGGCACCATCAAAGAATTTTCCAGCCTCACATATCAACAGCACAGAGATTGGAAACACCTGGTTTGTATGCTCATCTTCAGTAAATGAAGACTTGGCTCAGTGTCGCCTCATCCAAGGACACAGCCCCAGGGAACCTACACTGTCAGGAACAGGACCAGTTCCCCACCAAAGAAAGAAAAAGGTGCCCTGACTCCTGAGGAATTCTGTTTGGATGTGACAGAGAAATTTAAGCCCTTCTCATGTTAACCAAAGCAAGTCGCATCTGAACTTCAGTGGGGCAGAAAGTGCAAACTCATGATGCCCCAGGAAGGAAGAGCTCCGCAGAGTCAATGCAAAGCCCTAATGACTTACCCATAAAAATGTTGATATCTCTCCTCATGGCTGGTCTTTGTATTCACCCTCAATCCTTGTTCTAAAAATAAATCCTTATGGATTTTTATTCATATTGCTAAATTGCCCTGAAGGTTTGCACCATTTACGCTCCTACCCACAGGCAGCATTCTGTATGTGCCCATTTTAATTACTTGAACCCTTACGTAAACTAGGCGTAATTGTTTTTTAAGCTTTGTCAATTTGAAAGGTAGATATTATATTGTGTTTTAGATGCAGCACGTCTGACACTCTGCATTGCATTTTTTAAGTCATATTCAGAAAAGAAGTCAGTCTAAACCATTCGCAACCTACCAATTTGGACTCTCCTGAGGACAGTGTGTGCACAGCACAAGCTTGGTACAGCTTGCCAAATATTTGAAATCCTGCAAACCGTGTCAGATTTGCTCAGCTCCAGTTCTAGAAAAGAAACAGATCAAACTAGGGGGAAAAAATAATAATCTGACCTGGCTACAGTGCTAGGCATCAAAGGAAATCTCAGAGGCTGTTGCTGCAAGTCAGGATCTTGGGTGGTTAAGGCAGCCAGCAAGTTTGCTTGACAGTTCCTCACTGATTGCTGCTGATATGTCAAGCCAAGTAAAACCCTTTGCGAGAACAAGTCAATAATCGGCAAATTAGGTACATGATTAACCTGAGACAACAAGATGCAGTTACCGCTTGGGAGCCCTGCCGGGACTTCACCTTCTCCACAATCCTGTTTAGCAAATATTAAAAATGCCTATTTCATCACTCAGACTGATGGAGCCAGGAGCCCAGTGACTTCCAGCGGCAACTTGGAAGCATGGGATAGACTCACAGCTCCAGCAGCTTGATTAAAGGGAGGTACAGGGATTGAATGGTGGTGAGATAGAAGCAGACACCTCAACCCTTAATTTACACAGAGATGTTTCTTTGGGAGGAGGTAAAACTATCCACACATTAAACACATTAACCAATGGAAGAGAACTATGTAAGAGGCTGCAAATTGCCTCATGATCATACCAAATAAGTGCAAATATGGCAGAGTGGGCAAGTGTGAACTCAGATAAAATGAGCTGAGCAAACATTCCTATTTGTCCTCGTCAGCGGAATTCCCTTAATGACATTTTTTAAAAGCAAATTTATAGATGGCGATTAGTGGCATTAGCTTTTGCCGGCTTTGGTTTATCTCTTTCCATGTCAGAGCCTTATTTGCAAAGACACTGTCTGTCCTTGTCCCCTTCTTTCTTGCCCCAGCAAGTAAACCTGCACAGTTGCAGCTGGAAGGGGGACTGACTGGGTACTGAGGACTCTGGAGCTCCTCTGTGTCCTGAGAAGCTGGCTCTGTCCGCTCACCACTGTTTTCCCACCCCGCAGTGCCAAGTTACCGGCAGGGTCATCTCTCTTGGGTCTCCCTCTTCTCATACAG